TGTCAACAGTGAGGCTGATGTCCCCAGCTGCAATCCCAAAATAAAAAGACGACATATTAATTGCACATTATATTTTTAAAAGGCATCAAAACGATCAAATGCTTATCTAATCTTAAGTCTAAGCAGAACATGCTTATGATCAACACAGAATCAAATAGAATCAAATGTACTCTCAAGCCATTCACCTAGTGAACATCTACCATACATCAGTTTAAACATTTTACTTGAATCAAAAGCAAAATAATTGAGTTACGTTGTCTAGACCAATTGAATCGCTTATCAAAACTTAGCCTAAGCAGAAAATTCCCATCATCGGGCTTTGTCAATGTATTGATATAATAAAACTATATTCTTAGCTCCAGTACTCTCACCTAATTAGAATCAAAGTTATCAAATAAATTATTTATCACTGCTTAGTCTTAGTGAAAAATAGTCCTAGTGAAAGCATTCACTGAATCAATATTTACATTCTACTACCAATTGAACTGAAATTTTTTTACTGAGCCTAAGCAGAAAATGCTTGTAATGAAAGAATACACCACTTTACTTGACTCTCACTGGGTAAGAATCAAAGTTATCAAACTCCGAAGTCTTAACCAATCAAACCACTTATAACTTTGCTTAAAATGAGCAGACAATGCCAATAAGTGAACATAGTCAATGTGTTAATTGCTGTTATGAAACTATACATCAAGAATTAGAATAATGTTATAGTATCCCAAAATTCCAACTCAAGTCAAGGCATTCACCTATTAAACACATACACCAAGTTGTACATTCTACCCTAACTAGAATTATTGTATCCCCAAATGATTGACAGATAGAAAGTCAGCCAGACAAACAAACAAACCCATTCTAATAGTCTCTTGCTTTCTTTTGTAAAGAATTCTTACCGGCACAGCATTTTAAAATTTTGATGACTGGGGCAGTAACTCTATGTCCATTTCCCAGGTTTCTCCCTGGGACGAGCTGAACAATCCCAGTAAGTTTCCCCCAAAAAATCCAAAGAAAGCAGCTTCTCTGCATTCCTAGAGGATTACTCCAAAGTTCCTAAGGACTAGCTGAAAACCCCAGCCTAAGCCCTGCTTTTGAGTGTGATCTTTTGTATTTTCATGTGTTCATAAAATCTGCTTAAAAGTTTGGGAATCCCATGTAAATGACGCCATAAGTGAGGATTTCTATTTACAGCATGTAGCCCGATAATGTTTACGTTCAGTCGCAGCCTTGTCCAAAATATCTGCCACATGAAAGCTGAACCACCCAATAGTGAGGCTAATGTCCCCCACCACAATCCCAAAATAAATAGATGATATATTTTAATTGATTGCACATTTATCTTTTTTAAAAGTATCAGCAATCAAACTGAATATCTATATCAGTGATTATTTAGCCAGGTGTGCAGCTATCTTTTCATGTGTTCCAAGGTGTGCCATTAAGGTTGAGAACCACTGATCCATACTTAGTCACAATTGAACTCAGTCAAGGTTTTGAAGTATGTGGTAGTGAAACTATACACTAAGTTTTGCCACTCTCCATCAGTTAGAATCGAAGTTAGCTTGAAATTGGTTAGCTCTATTTGCTTAGCGGACAATGTTAATTACCGAACTCGGTCATGACATTCACCTAATGAAGTTCTACACCAAGTTTAAATATTCTACCTCAATTAAAAGAAGAGTTGCTTATCGCTACTTAGAGTAGGCAGAAAATCTTCATCATCGAAGTTAGTCAAGGTATTGATATAATGAATCTATACTCTAAGTTTCCTCACTCTCACCCAATTAGCATCAAAGTTATGGTGTTCCAAAGTCTCAACCAAACAAATTGCTTATCTCTGCTTAGCCCGAATGGAAAATGGGCATGATCGAACACTGTCAAGGCATTCAACTTATAAACGCCTACATCAAAGTTTGAAAATTCTACCTCAATTTTAAGGAGAGTTATTTTGTTGCAAAATCTTGACCTATCAGACTGAAGTCTCTACTTAGCCTAAGCAGAAAATGTTCATCATCGAACTTAGTCAAGGTATTGATGTTAATGATGAAACTATACCCAAACTCTCACCACTCTCACTCAATAAGAATCAATGTTTTCAAACTCCAAAGTCTCATTCAATCAAATTGCACATTGCTCTGCTTACCCTGAGCAGAAAATGCTCATTATCACTCTCACTTTATTAGAATCAAAAGTTATCGTGTCCCAAAGCATCAACCAATAAAATTGCTTATCTATGCTCAGCCTAATCAGGAAATGCTTATCTTCGACCTCCATCAAGACATTCGCCTAATAAGCACCTACACTAAGTTTGAACATTCTAACTCAATTAGGAGAGTTATTGTGTCCCCAAAAGTGTGACAAGACAGAATGACAAGTGGTTGATTGACAAAATGGAAGAGATTGGCCCCCTATGCCTATGTGCTTGCAGAGGTACTATTTTTGTGTGTTATATCCTAGAAAACATCCTAGTTCATCCCATATCAATAATTGTAAAACATTTGAAATTATCAGTAATTGTAAAACATTAAATGCAAGTATTGAAATTTCTTGCTCTTCTATTATTAAATCAAAAACTTACATGGACATTCACAATGGAAAGAAACTTCATAATTATCACATATCTTCTTGTCCTGTTTGTCAGAGAAACATTGGAGACCATTCTTCAAATCACATTGAACGTTTTTATCATCAGTATTATGATAAGATTTATGCGTGGTGGCGCTTCGACACCTGATACTGGTGGGCATCATACAGAATCCGTAGGTATAGCGCAGATCTTTAATTAATTCAAAATCTCCTTTTGGATTGATGAGTGGGGATCCCAAATCCATCCAAGTTGTCCAACCAGGATAGCATACAGGTGGTATAGGTGTACGCGTTGTTGTTGGTACTGATCCTGTTGGTGTTGGTACTGATCCTGTTGGTGTTGGTACTGATCCTGTTGGTGTTGTTGAGCCAGCTGTTGTTTCTCCACCTATTGATTGAAACTAGATTCATTGAAGCATTTCAGTTTTATATTTTTTTACCATGGCAGACTGTATATATGTTTTCAACAGAGTATAAAAACAGTCAATGATCAACGATAGCTCTTCAAGTTAAATAACCCACCTAAACATGATTTGGGAGCATCATACTCCTAAACATCCTACGTATACCACATATAACCTGGTGCATCAATGTTTTTGCTAAAACTGTAGTGTAAATAAGTCATGGTTTTACAAATGTGTAAACTGACTTTTAAAATAGATTGTATACTAGTTTTCAACATAGTCTCAATTTCGACAGGGTTCATGTATAACTAGATGAATACAAATGTTTCATGCATGTAAGTTTAAGGTAGCTTTAGATATATTTTTAGGAATATATGACATTAATGATACTTGAGAGTTGCAACATTGATGCTACCTTTAGTTCATTAAAGGTGGAGGTCGCAGTTTCGAAGTTTCTTCAATAATGTGAAATGAATTGAGGTTTAACGTCCTACATTTTTTTTTATTTCAATAAAGCACCAGGGTTTCAAGTCTTGTTATATAAGTTAATGAATTTCAACTGCACGCCGTCCAAGAATGTAAAGTCTCATCTCTACGCCTAACTGTATCATCTGCCTTAACCTACACTACATTCAATAAACTAACCATAATGGTCAGTATTATTTTACAAATGATTCTTAAATCAAACAAAAATCTACTTACAGAAACAGAGATAAGATACTTCATAATCAAAACAGAGATCTTTTCCAGCCTGGTCCTGATGTAGACACTTCAACCCATCTTTCAGATCACAAGTAACCTTCTGACCTGAACGATCATACATTGTATCTCGACCTATCACACGGCATCGAATAGCTTCCATCATAGAAATATTGCAGAATTTATAAGCTGATCTCAGTCCTTCAATGGTTTCGATATCACCGGTATTTGAAGATGTTGGTGTACTGATACTCATGTATGGTGTCCAACCACTGTTGCAGGTTGGAGCAAAAATAGATGTTGTTGTATGAGATATGGTAGAACCTGTGACAGTACCAGTGTTAGGACTTGTTGAGGACTTCACAACATTTACTGATGTAACCGTAGCTGTTGAACAAAATCCATAACTTACTAGTGTGCCATTTTTACAGGTACTGAAAACAGAATACATATGAACATAAAATGCGTAAATATGGAAGATCTACTGAATATGTCATGAAATTTATCTGAGACTAGCTCCGAGTAAAGGGAAGAATTCATTCTGACAGGAATTTATAGTCAGATTTTCACGAAATTCGAACTCATTCATAATTATGGTGCAACGGTTTTTAAACTTTATAAAAATTAAATAAAAATTGTGACTTCTAGAGGCTACATAAGCTAAAAGCATGATTTTCTGTAAAATCATTGACCATATTCCCTGAAGTTACTGTCCAATATGCGCAAATATCGAAAAGAACCGAAATCTTTGGGTAATAAACATACTTTATAAGCTTCATCAAAACTGGATAAAAATAGCGACCTCTAGAGTGTGCACAATAAACACATGATTTTTCGTAAAATCAGGGGCCATAATCCATGAAATTTACTGTCCGATATATGTCAATATCGAAAGGAACCAAGATCTTTGGGAGATAAATCTATATTTTTAGTTTCGTCAAAATCGGACAAACATTGTGACCTGTAGAGTGTCCACAAACAAATTGTGGACGGACAAGGGCAATGACAATATACGTTCACATGAAAATGTTGGCGTATAAAAATAAACTCTGACCTATAGAATGATTACAAGGAGTAGGACCGACCAACAAGAAGCCTACATCAATCAATTAATTTCCAACAATGGCATTTTGTTAATTGTATAACAAAATCTTGAAACATACATAGGCTGCCAGGCATCGAAATATATGCTAACCACAAAATATATTGTCCTAGCAGTTACCAGATAAAAAAATCTAAGTTTCAAAAAGATCAGATCAAGGGTGCTAAACAACATGTGTAACAAAGTGGAATAGTTCTAGAGGTTATTGTCAATCATCATTGAAAATCAATAGGATTCTTCCTTGAGATAGACAATTTCAAAAAGATTTGATAAGTCCAAATGTAAAAAGTTAACAGACAGAAGAGTGAAAACAACAGGTATGAATTATGCCCTTTGATTCTGATGCACTGAAATCACAAACAAAACAAAGATTAATTTGTTCTACTTTTTGAACTTACCAGACTTCACATTCAGGATTACAAACAGATTTATCAAAAATTCTCTCCCCTTCTCGATATTTCTTACTGCCAATTAGACAAGCGGGTTGACATTCAGTGACAGACACACATTTCATTGGTTCTACATTACTGTCAAACACTTGGCCTGGTGGACACGGTTTTCTATGACAACCTTCATAACAGGCTTCTTGCAGGCATTCTCTAGTTATCTCATCATAATGAAGATGGTTATCACATGTTTTTTCGGGACATGTTGTGATGCATGGGTTATATTCTTCACAATCTACACACTCAATATCTGAAATATAAAAATACAGGCATCAGACAAGTTCTTGATTAAAGGAGAATCTTAGTGAATCCATAAACTTAATTCTGTGTGGAGGATCTTTATGATAGCCATATCTATAGACCTGCCTAAGTTGGGTGTTAAGTATTTGTAGGGAAGTCACTCATAAACCTAAATTATGTAATGTGAGCAAATGCTAATGACCCCATGTTGAATTACCAGTGGAAAGGCATTTTGCTACAGATGTACTTTTTAAGTACTTAGGTTGTGGTATTCTTGCATTTTGTTTGCCATAATTGACTCTTTTAGAAAGACAACAATGGTCTTAGGCTTTCATTCTCCAAGTGACTCCAAAATTTAATCAAGCATGCTAATTAACAGTGCATATTCAGATTTGACATTTAAGATTACTGAGAATTTTTTAAAAATTCGTCTGGCTTGGTTGTTCACTAAATTGTGGTGCAGAGAGAGGAAAAGGTTTTTAAGATTTTCATTTTTAATTTATATCAAAATTTCTTATTATATGGTTTTGGTGTTTATCTTATAAAGGAGACCTAGAGTATTGGCAAAGAGTATTATTCTAAATGTCAATAAAATATTTCATGTTTATGTCTATAGTTTCATTCTAGTTAAATTAGATTGAAACATTTAAAACAACTATTATACTTACAACATAGCTCTTGAGTTCTCCATACTATTGGTGTTCCCTTGATCGCACATTCGTGTGCATAGGCAGCAACATCAGTGCATAAACTTTCACATTCTCCCGACATATTACATGCACATACATCAAAAACACACCTCTCTAAATATGGTTTATAATCAACCACTGAATGGCATGGTTCAAAAGCCTTCGTTTTCAGGATTTCACATTTTTGTTCTGCCCATGGTTTTCTTGCTGGAACCTTTTCACACTCAGATACAATTGTTGGTGGGATTTTGCAATAATCATGAACTTTCCATTGATCTCCGAATGTGATGGCTGATGAAAGGGTGGGTCCACCTAGTCTGCCTTTAAAGTCATCCTTTGGATTGCCATTAAAGTTACCACAAAGTCCAGTAACCTTTAAAAAGAAACAAATTATTTTGATGCTGACTTGCCTTGACCATTTATAACATTTGCAGAGTGCCAAGTGTTGACAAATTTGTCATATTATCTTTGTAAATAATGAAAGGAACTGAACTAATCCTTACAGAGATTAAACTCTTACAATATTTTTGGGATTAATTATCCAGCAAATGTTTCAGAGACTTTAAAATACAAAATGTTGGGAAAATAAAAGTGATCCTTGAAACAAATCAATATACTTCGGCAATTTTCTACCACAATTTGCATCTTTCACAGCTCTTCAGGATAGTATTTCATTGATTTTCAAAGAAGTGTTTAGAATTTCTGTACAGAAGGTACTTTTATGCCATACAGTGTGCTAAGAGGGAAATTTTGTCCGGACAGTACGCTACAACTTACTCGTATATTGAATTCCAACTGCCAATCGATCGTTTACGTGCACGCCAATGAGTACACTGCACCTTGGTTTTTTGTCCCATCTGAACGACTAGACAGCTGCCCTTGTCAGACCCTCCGTCCTGCACCACTGACAAGCGGAAACCACATCGGAAAATCTCGATTAACTTTCCCAGCCAACACTGGGAGTGAACCCGCGACCTCCAGACTAGCGAGCCAGCGTCATACCCACTTAGCCACCGTGGATCCTCAACAATTATGAATAAATGATAATGTGAAAGAAATAAGAAAAGATTTATCAGCACAAGGGAACTTCATTGCTGGATATCAGTATATATAGATGAATGTATAACAGGGGATCAGCAGATATACATATATCATTCTGCCCATCATAAGTGATCATATACGTATGTCTTGAATTTATAAATAAAATCTTAATCATAAATTCTTGAGTCAGACATATTGAGATCTTTGTTCTTACCTTTCCCATGTGTTCTGCAGATAGCTGTACATAGACAGTAGTACCTTTATCCCAGGAAAGTGTGATTCCTCCTGGGGTATTGACAATGACAGAATTTCCGACATCTGTTATAGCAAATGGAGCTTTAGAATCGACCATAATAGGTTTCCCTCGGACTAAGTTCAGTCGATAGAAGTCTGGTGTACCTGGTTCACCAATGGTAAATTCAATGGCCTTTGAGCAAATGACACCTGGACCTTCACACGGAACATTTTCTGTGATAATCTGAAATTGCTCTCGATCAAATTCTGTGGATTTGGCAAGTATAAAATCACAGTTTCCTTGGAAGTTATATGGTTTACCATCAAAAGTTATGTAGTGGGAATTACCATAGGCTGTGCAGTACGCTGGACAATCTATTTCATTACAAATCCATTTTCTATCATGACATGTACTGGAAATAGAGGGGAAAAAAGGTACAAAAATTAATTAATTTAGGACTGCATGCGGTGAACTTATATGTTCATGTTACAATATGAAGTCACTGAGAAAGTTGCCAAACCATGGTGATTATTTCTACATTGATATCTGGACCAGTAATTTTAATTAACTAAGCTTGAGTAGTTTGTCATTTCAGGTGTAAAAAGTAAAACATGGTAATGGATTGAAGTGAAATAAGATCTACAAAATATTCATTCATAAACCAAATTAAGATTAAGAAAACAATAGCCTACAAGGCAGCAATGTATCAACAGCAGCTTATCCGGAAGAAAAACTTTGATGTCGACCAGATTTGATATTTCTGCAAATGGAGAATAAATCTGGAACTGGAAGTTGCAGAATGCTGAATAATGACAAGGTTTGTCCTCACATGACCCCAATGCTGCCCACCGAATTTGAAAAAAAATCTGTTAATAACTATAGCCTGTATCGCATCCACAAGGTGTTCAGCAAAGCAGGTAACTCAAAAACAGAATGAACAGTCGCAGAGCACTGAAAATCAATAGGATTCGTCCTCTCTTGACATCAATACTTCAAACCAATTTCATATAAATCTGTTACAACTGTAGCCTCTATCATTTTTTTTGGAAAGGGGGGATAACTCTGGAAAGTAGGGTAATGTGGTAAAGGGATAGCTAGGGTTAATTCATTCATGACCCCAATGCTTCCCACCAATTTTAAAGAACATCTGTTAAAAACTTCAGCCTCTATTGCATCCATAAGGTTTTCAGAAAAGGTGGGATAACTCTGGTACGAAAGATTCTTTCTTGACCACAATGCTTCACATCAAATTCGAGAAGAATCTGTCAAAAACTGTAGACGCTATCAAGTTCACAAACCAATTGTTGACTTTGACAGGAGGACTGACGGACCGACAGACAGGATGACAACATAGTACACTGAAATATGGGCGGAGAAAAAAGGAAGAATGAGACTTACCAATTGCTACAGTCCATTTTAATGACCTGTCCATTGAAATATTTTTGACCACCATGAAAACATGGGCATGTGTTATTAGGAATGCACATTGCATTCTCTTGACTGCTTTCAAATACAAAACCAGATTCACAGACACATCCCTGCTCACATGGGGCATTGGTACAGGTGGGAGGATCATGAAGATTGGAACATGTCTGGGGACACCTGCTAACACAATCTGAATACTTCATGTTGGAGGGACATGGGGCTTGAATGACAACATCAGTTGGTAAAATTTCACCTGTGGTGTTAGTTTCAGTCACAAATGTTCGGCATGACCAACGAGCATTCACACATTGACTGAAAAAAAAATGCAGACTCCATATTAAGTCATGACAATTTGCCCTTACAAATATGTAACAAATGATCCACTAATATTTTTTTTCTTTCTTTCAGAGAAGCTTCTACAATATTTCTTTTAAATGAGCAGCTAATTACAGGTAGTTGAGTTTATTAATATTTTAATCTGATATTACATCTATTTTCAAGGTGAAAGTGATACTGTCTCTTTAAATTTTAAACATACAAGTACTTGTATTTGCCAATTTAGTTGAACAATCTTAACAAATGACATGAACAAATACATATAAGACCTACCATAAATCTTTGCCTTTAAGTGTTGTGAAACCTGGTTGGTATTCTCGATTGTCAAATATACAGTAACAATCAGAAATGGGTATACATTCACTTAAATCATTTAATGTAAAGCCTGAAGGACAAGTACATCCTTCAACGCATGTTGCTCGACAGTCTAAATTTAAAGCAATATTTCTACATGATCTCACACATGGATTACCACAGCTCATGTATATCTGATTTGCTGGACATTTTATAGCTAAAAATAAAAAAAGTTAATTCAAATTACCAATAAATGATAATGCGCCAGAAAATGAACAATCTAATATTTATCATGTGCTGACATTTGATTATTTTTTTCAATATATTTGAGCATCTTATTCTTATGCGCTTCACTTCAGTGGCTAAGTTTACACTATATATATTCATATCAATGAGGTTAAATACCCTTAAAAGTATTTTGGATGCCAACCCATTTCAGGACCCAGTAACATGGTTTAAATCTTACCACATTCAGGAATTTTCTGTCTCCAGTTAAGATTAATTTCTTCCATTGCACACTGACTAGCATATTCAGCTAAATTAGGACACAGACATTCACTAAAGTTGCTTTGACAGGCACATGTGTCATACATACAATTTTCTATGTAAGTGTCTACTGCCACCTTACTATGACAAGCTGAAATGGCAAATTTAGTACAAAACATTGACAAAATGAAAGTGGATCACTTACTCACATACCACTAGTCTAATACTTGTGGTGCGGACATTTATTTTAGTATTTACATGTCCTATATAGTAAACTGTGGTATGTGATTATTATTGATATTATGGATTGTATTTCTAAGCACTTACATATAGATTTAAGATAAAAACAGAAACAACTATAACCTTTCAGAGACAATTATGTAATTCACACTGATATATTCCTGAACAACCCAAAATCGTCCAAAACTACAGTTCCATAGATTTCTAAAAACTGTATACTAGTCCTTGGGCGCAATAGTTATTCAATTGACTTAGAGGGTTGTTGAAGTGCTCTAAGAAGTAGCATGGTTTGAAGGAGCGGATACATTTTGGAGAAAGACTTTTGGTAGATTGTTTGCAGAATCTTGGTGTTGTCTAAATTTTCAATGAACGGTAAGATCATTGTGCGTTGGATTTGGGTGGGATGAAAGCAGGAAAAGGTAGATAACTGTAATGCCTTGTATTTTGTTGATTGGAAGTAGCAAGTGTGACAGGAAGCGGGGAGACGTGCTTGATGGAGTTAAATTATAAATGATGTACAATTGTATTGAATTGAGTGTTTTAACACTTGACCTTAATCGAAAACTGTCCATAGAGTCTGTTGTAGCATGCATATAGAAAATAGTATCAGCTGTTGAAATTAGACAATAAACAACCTCGGTATAGACAGATTTTTTTACCAAGATTTTTTGTAAACTTGTTTAATAGGTTGTGTTTAAATACCTTGAAAGACTTCCCCTTTCAATATACCACATTCTTTGGTAGCATTAAGTTTACGTTCTGGGTTTCTGTCACAAGGAGGCATAGTATTAGGTGGCACATCAATACAGGTGGTTTCTGTCTTCCATCGGTTCCCAAATATATTTGGATTTGTTTCAGTATTGCCGTCTGGAGTTTTAAAGTCATTGGTTGGTTTACCATCATAAAAACCACACAAGCCACCTGTTTTACGCATGAACACAGGTGGGGCTGTTATGTATGCCCTTGTTCGTCCATCCCAAAATATTGTTATTCCGTTTCCAAGAACAGCCTGAAATTATTGCAAGGAATGAAAAATGATCAGGGGTACTTCAATTATCACTGATGTCCTTTATAATATAACTGCCATTTATTATTTTTGCACATAAGTACTGAATGTCTCCCCTAATAAATTCTCCCAACAATATAGCCACTAAATAACAACCCTCAATACATTCCAGTATTTTCTGAGTTTTTCAAAATTCTAATATAGGATGGATTTAGTATTTCCCATTAAGTTTTGTCTAAATTACAAAACACTCACAGCACGAAGTTGCCTAAGCAGTTATAAGCTAAACACCACATAAATATTTCTGAAAGATTAAATAATAATCAAAGCATGCAAAATGCTTTTAGAAAAATTTAAAGCCTCTATGCTGCTAGCAAGATCTTGTAGCAAAGTGGATTGGTGCTGGAAGCTTTTAGACATCAGAGCACAGGGGCATAACTATAGAAGTTATCAAAAGTTACAGAAAATCAACAGGTTTCTGGACTTGAGTAAAAACACCATCATAAGTTCAGAATGGTGGATGACAAATGATAACATTGATTCTATCTATTTTTTAATAGAAATTAACTCACCTGCATGAAGAGTGAAGACACCATGAAGATCTTAATACCTGGTACTTCATAAGGAAGACGTGTAATTGCTTTACCATTAACATATAACTCGTGATTGTGGTCTAACTTGATATTTAATCCATTGTAATCTAAGGTAATAGATTTTGTACAGGTAGCTTCACCATGTCCACAAGCAATATTGTCAACAATAACATCAAAGTTATTATCTTTCAGTAAATAATAAGAACAGGTACCCATGAAATCAAACGGTGTTCCGTCAAATGTTAGATAATGAGGATCTCCAGTTGCTGCACATCTTTTATCACAATTATGAGTTGTACACGACCATTTACCACTGCTACATGTACTGTAATAATAAAAATATACCTATGTATAACTATTATCTTATTTCTAAATGTTCACATTGACCACAGATTTAAATATATCGCACCCAGAACCCATAATTCGAACAGAATTTTATTTTCTGGGTGGCCATTTCCATTATTTGCAGGTCAATTTACTGATAAGGGTGACTTCTACAAAAAGATGTAGCATGTTCAATTCTTCCTCTTACTATTTCTGAAATTGTTTTGTCTGTGTTCCACTTAATGAAATGAAAACACTGTTACTGAAACGCACCATGTATTGCATTCGCTGGGTATCTTTTCGCCTTCTTTGTAGTCCTTTCCTTCATGTGTACATGGACACTGATTTGGTTGGAAACAAGAACCATCATGGTACAAAGTTCCTTCTGGACAGAAACAACTGTCAACACACTGGTCATCAGAACAAGTAGCTGCTGGGTCAGCACAGGTCTTTGGGCAGCTGCTTCCACATTCTTGATAGATCATACCATTTCCACAAGATATTGCTATAAATAAAATATTACGAAAGAGATTTAAGAAGGTTAAAGAGAAAACAAAATGATCTTTGGTTTCTCTCGACTAATGTCGGAAGAATGGACATATTTTGATGTCATCATCTAGATTTTATGATTATAATATGATTGGTGGTTATGATAAGTTTCAGACAATTGCAAAAGGCTGGAGATGTTATTTGTCATGCATGTGCAGCGTGTCTGGTTCTGCGAAAGACAAAAGATGTTATAACTCCAAATGGAGTATTCTAATATACAGAAGCAAGTTTCTACTTCTACTTTGTCACTACTTCCGTTGAAAAAGTATAGATATGGTACATTATTATATCTAATGCACAAAATTATAACTATATTGCACCTTATATTAGGCATATAATGGTTCTTTACAGACTTTACCTTTTAAGGAGTGGAGAGGGAGAACTACAGACGGGCAATCCTACTCCATCAAAAACATAATATGTTGTTGGGTTTGTTTTCAATGGTCATATGTTCAATGCCTGGCCGATATTCTTCATCAAATTCATTGAATTCCAACTATTAAGGTTATTATAAATATCATGCATCATTACGTTAAACTTGATTGGATGAAAATTTTAAGAGGATACTTACGACATGTTTGTGCAGTTCTCCAATCCAACACAATCTGTTTTCTTGAACAATCTCGTGCATAAGCTTCAAAACTATTACACATACAAGAGGCAGTATCAAATTTACAACAATCTGACTTACAAGTTTCAATATATACAGCTGGATCAATAACCTGAGAAAAATCATAAAATAGACACATTATCAGAAACAGAGAGGTTCATATCTAAGATTGTATTTGCACGGACAGGTCGAAATGGATTATGCTTGTCTTGTGGTTCCTTACAAGTGATCTTGTAGAGAAATACGTGATATCTAGCAAGAAGCAACATACCCACTATGATGGAGTAAGGAATCGTTGCACATTGAGTTGCTACAGACACTGTTTGGATACTAATCTCAAGGTAAAAGCAACCTTAGCTTTGTAATGAATGAAATATATTCCTTACAATAGATTTCTCATAATGGCCATATAATTTTAACATGAAATAAGATCATATAATATGGACCTTGCTATAAAGTAGTTCGCTGCCAGTTGGCTTTCAGTGTAATGTGGGGCTATCTTGGCTCCCAGCTGTACTATAATAATTTATAGTCAATATAGGTGTCATATAGAAACCCAGTATGTGCAACATCCTTTCATCCCAAAGTCAGATATATCATCCATTTCATCTAGTTTTCAATATGTTATCATAAACTAGGTAGAGCTTAGCAACTGAAATCAAAATTCCCAATTCTGACAATTGAAATGAATGAAAAAGAAATGGGGTTTAACATCCTACTCTTCTGCACTGACTTGACTAATGAAGACAGGTACGAAGTCATTGGCAATTTGACTTTGTAATTAGACATCATGCAAGCAGATGCTTTAACCTCGAAAGTAGAAGAGACTATTCCCCAATAAGATTCTTGAGTGATAAGATCCAATCTTGAGAAAAGTCCTAAATATTCTAGAGGGTTTGTTTGAACTAAGTTAGATTTTTATAGTCATCAGATAGAGATATGCTTTGTGGGTATTCAAAAACTGTTTTCAGTACTATTTACTGATGCTTGTTGCCATTTAGGAATTAAGGCCATTCTCGTGCCAATCTTAAAAAAATCAATAAATTCCAAAAATTCTCCCCAATCTTGTCTTGACACACATTCCAAGGATAAAAACTTACTGAATTGCAAGAGGTGAACTTTCCCCCATTCATCTGATTACATCGTGTTGTGGCTGATTGTGTTTTAGCAATATTAGCTGGTGTGTCTGTTAAACAACCACTGGACTGAGGTAAATCTGGACAAGTAGCTGAAGAGATAGAAAAGAATATGTCTTCTTCATTGAGCATATTATTATCAGGCAAAGTCTTCTGTAAAGGTTTATTTGACTATACATACATACACCTCCTTTCATGATTTGACATGAAAAAATATTGATTGATGTATACAACAAATGTTTATCATTCACATCAGATCAACAAAGTTGGGAGGAGCAGTAATATGCAGATTCTTCAAAAGTGGATAAAAATTTAAATTGCAATACATTTATTCCACAAACTGTGCATATCCCTGCTAAAGATTATTGACATACTTTCTGTAAAACACAAGGTTATACTTTGATATTCATAATCATTTACCTTCACCAGGAATTATCTTCTTGTAATAATGTGCAAAACTGATAACAGATGGAGCAATATCTCCTCCAATCATAAAATCATTGAGTGGATTGCCATCATACAAACCACAAAGTCCACATATTTTCTTCTTCATACTCTTCTCAACTTGAACAAATATCGATTCCTTACTGTCCCATTTCAACTGAAACCCAAGCTGAGTACGAACTGTCAAGAAACGTCCAGTTTTCTCGAACACTAAACCATCACGTGAGCTGGGAATTTTTAAAATGTCGTCTCCCAATTTAACTTGAGCTGCATCGTTAACCCTTTTTAAAGATATTTTAGCATCTCCAACATATATTGATATTTCTTTCTTACATTGTGTCCCTGACACACAGTTTCTATCATTTTTGACTTGAACAGAAAAAGCCTTGAAGCTGCTACAATCTGTTATAAGCTCATAGGTACATTGACCATCATAGGAGTAGACTTTATTATCAAATGTACGATAGTGATTCTGACTCCAAGCAACACAAGTGGCAGCCACTGGAAATGGTGTATAAACTGAAAAAGATATCATACATCCACAAAGTCAAACATAAGAAACATCCACAAAATGAATCAGGCAAACTATCATGCACAGTTATAACTGGGGCCCTAAATCTCTTAAAACTGATAACAAGAAAGCAGTGTAACAGCTGTATAGGACCACACTTGAATTAGATATAGTTCATTACACCTAGTATTAGCCTACTCTAGACTGATACCAAAACAAGCACCAGTAGCTATAGCCTACAGTCATGAGCAAGTTTTTTTTTTTTTTCAAAACGGCCAATTGGTTCTGTGATGACTTTTCATCCACCATAAGGTTTGTTGAAATACATTATCTATGAATGAAGAGTTATTCAGCTTTATTTGGTTGTGTTTATAGAAAAAACATCAATTCAGGCTTATACTCTAAAAACTGTATCAACAAAATCCAGAGAAAAGGTAAAATTTTGAAAAAAATATCCTCTATTCTATATAGTCTCCCTTTGTTGTTTCAGTATTCGAGAAGGAGTCAGATTGAAGAAAATAATGATATGATAGATTTTGTAACAAACTATACAAGGATTTATCAACTTTACTTCTTTGGAAAGTATCATAAACAAATTTCAAACAAAGCCTACTCCCTCTGCACCATCTCTGGAGATGTTCAGAGTACCAGTAAATCTCTAGTCACTTGATTTACGTTCACTGTAACCAGTGTACACTGATCATTAAATCTAGTAAAACCATAGTTACAATTGATGAACAAATAAGCTGTTCAGTAAAATTGAGTACAATATAAAATATTGTAGATAAATTTATTCAAAATGAAAAATCAGTTAAAAAAACCAACTGATTTTGATTAGGTTACTTGAAATATTTGCACTTATACATTGCAAAGATAAATAGGATCCATATTTAAATCATATTGTTCACTTACTTGGACCAGGTGTAACTGGCACACCAACTGTGGGAACTGAAATATAATTTACATTCTGGATTAAGACAAGACTTGGCAATCAGCAATAACAGTCTCACATCATCTGGCATGTTCAACGAAAAAGAAAAACCTCAAATACACTGGCCAACGTTTCAAGATTATCAGATAGCTTGAGAGCTTTATGTTTTTCATTGGTTTACTTAACAGTTCACAGGGAAGATCCAGGGGCTTGGGAGAGTCCAATCGACTTCCAACACAGGAAATGTGCGTTTTTTAGTTTAAATAAGTTTTCCACCTCTCTGCTCGTCTAAATATTGTTGCCAGGCAAGGGTACTGTGGGGTTCCTACAAGAATTGTGGACATCAATATACTACCCGAGTTTGATTCATTCGGCTATACCTTCATCCAACATCTGCTCCAAATAGCTATTAAACATGCCCTGGGCTATATATACAACGTGTTGTTTAATGTGAGGCCGGGGATGATTCAGGCTAGCTATATAGTTAGTTACTTACTTGGAATACAGTTTGGTATTTTTACTTCTTTTGGTGGATCCCAACCAGTATCTTGATTGCATGTATACTGCACAGCTGGCAAACTTTCAAATGTATAACCTTCATTACAAGATACATGACAAAATAAACCATCATCTAAATTCTGGCATTTTATTGTTCCAAATTCTGGTCCTTCTCGTTGTAAGCATTTTGGATCATCTGCAAAAAACATAGATGAAAAATAATCGTATCCTACACAACCATTTCTATAACAACCTGCAAACATTGGCAGGATATAGGAAAGAAATGTTCTTGTTGCTAAATATATTCTAGTCTGATTTTTACAAATTTTATATTTTTGAAGAGAAAACATGTATAGGTATCTCTTTGGATAATTGAGGTATGGTGCTATAGACATTTTAAATACCATCAATTATATATAATTAGTTTTGAAGGGGGCAGGTGAAAGGGAGGGGGGGGGCAGGTGAAAGGGAGGGGGGGGTTAAAAGGCAACAGTCACAACTACTGTCATGCTATTTGTTAACAGTTACCGTACATTACCACAAGTAGGGTCTGATCCATGGAAACTTTAATCTCTTTAAAAAATAGTAAATTATCTATAGCAGCATCTAATAAAGATCAATGACTTCAATCTGCTTGTTTACCATACTGAGCAGCCATTATCAGAACCATGTTTTTATATTCCAGTTAATTTAGTTTTCATGAATAATGAGCCGGATACCAATAGTTTGTTACTTACAATGTTCACAGTAGTCACCCTTCCATCCATTTTGACATTTACAATGATTTGGACCAATGCAGGTACCATTGTTCGCACAGTTCTTAGCACAAACAGCTGTAAATACGAAAAGTTTCATTTAATATAGGATATTTTGCATTGCCAAGTAAGAAAAATATGCTCATCATGAGTACTTCTGTGAGTGGATGCAATTACCAATTTTTATTTGAGTTAACATAGCTATTAATTTATTGTTTTATTTTTGATGTTTCTCACAGTATCACCCAGTTTATTTCAAGGTTTCTATGACACTCTTCTTGATGTTTATATATGACTCTTATATGACCTACTAAACCCAAGACAAACAGGTTGGTAACTTACGAACACATGGTGGAAAGTCTTTGCCATCATACCATTCCCCTGAATACTGGTCACATGTTCGATCGATAGAACTCTGTTTTGTGGTAAATTGATAACCACTATCACAGGTAGATGTGCAGATGCTGAAAAACAAGTCCTTTTTTCTAAAGTTATGTCCCCTTGACCATAAAATGTGGTTTCCGTACAGATATTGGTTTTTCAAGGTTCCTATCATGCGCGGGATTCATTGGTGACATTTCTATTTGGTTCAATGATTTTATATGGGACCCATTTCAATATAACCGAGAATTAATTAGTCTGACTCCTGAGCAGATACCGATTTTATCAGTTCCTTTAAAGGGACTATGCCGATTTGAACAGCGTCTCAAAAATAAAAGTCCGAGTAAGTAAAAAATTTAAGCGCCAACATATAGAGGAATGGTGTATTTACCCTGTCCCAAAACTTTAGCTCAAAATAATGAGTCGTTTGGACGTGAACGTCAAAACGGCTATTCCGGACACGTAACCCTTTAAAGATTTCGGGTCAATTTTTTCCTTGGGTGACCTTATAATCGATTCCCGTTTCGTTAGAGGTCTGTACAGTGAATGACCCATGTGATGTACTTGATAACGAAAGGTAAATTTCGGCTACACATTATTTTTTATAAAATAAAAGTCTAGTTTTATCCAGACACCGCATAATACAGCTTGGAACACCGGTCTCCATTTCCAGATTAAGACTGACAGGTTTAAGTTGTTTGAAAACGTATCACATAGGCCTATATTGAGTTAGTTGCTCGGCCCTAAGGTAATGGATTTTAGGGGATTTTAACTCTAAGCAGTTTTATTCTCTAAAATATTATCGGAATTGACCCTTTAATGCGTGGGATTTATTGGTGACGTTTCTCTTTGGTTCCATGATTTTATATTGGACCCATTTCATAATAGGCGCTTCTTTTTCATCTGTTATCTGTATGAAATACATATCCAGAGAGCTTTAAATATTGTATATCAACCATTTTGGTTTTTAAAATGTCAAGGCTAAGTGGTGAGGTACCGAGCCAACGCCGATAGCGACTCAAACCGTGGGTCTTCGAAAAAAAAAATCAGAAAAAGATATACCTACAAACACTGTCAAAATGAGTGCAATTAAAAACTATAAGCGGTGTAAAATCTTCTCTAAAGAGACATTATAGCAACTGAAACCAATAACCAGGGAACACCTGAATGGGCGTAACGGTATACGTTAAGGTCGGGTGACTTGATGAGCTCTACATTTTACCACACTGATCGATCAGCAGTGAATATTCGCTAGGTTAATCAAAGATGACGTTAATATACAATAATATACTAACTAATCAAATTGGTCATCTGCACAGTTCACTTTACCATGAGCCGGTCCAGATATAGCATGACATAAACCATTTTCTGAAACTAGATAAAAATCAGAATATAGCTTCTCATACCCATTACACATGAAGTATACTTTAAGCTTGCTTCCCTTGTACTCTTTCTTCCCCACCACCTTTGCCCCCTTTTGCATGACGGTTTTGTTGACTAGTATTGAAGAAGAGTGTTTGTATATTTTCTGTCAGGTTTTGGTAAATAGTCATGATTTTGATCAGGAGGTAAATAGACATTTTTTATTAATTATTATTCTAATAATTCGCTTTAGCATAGGTGTTTTTTAGCAGTCGGAGGAAACCGGGGAACCCGGAGAAAACCCACGAGGTTCGAAAGGCGACCCTACTCCTTGTCACGTACAAACGGGGAATCGAAATAACACCACTTACTAAATGACAGATCTTATGATTTCAGGCGCACACGTTAATGTTCTAGATCCCCCCCCCCCACACACACACACACACAATTCTCGTATAAAAGGCACGCCTTTGGCTTTGACCGGACGTAGTAAAACCTCGGTATGATCCACACCCCCATCCCAAACTTAGGCTGCCTGTCTACAGTTAGCTCCGCCTATATTCTCGGGGTATGCAGTAGATGCATCGCTGTGTGCAGTATGCCACACCCAATCATTATTTAATCAGATGATTAATATTGTTATTATAAAGATTATGATCGTCAGAATGTTAAAAAAAAATATTATAAGCCAATGAATGGCATGGGTTTAACTTGGCAATGAATATTCAACTATTTTTAGTGCATGCTCAACTTATAGTGGGTATCATTCAAGAATGTATCAACGCTTTCCAGATAGT